AGCCCAAGCTTGAATGAGACTGCTTATGAAACATAAAAATGTGGTTCTCTTACCACAATGCATTTCTTTCTTCTTCTTCTTATTTTAAGTAGTAAAAGGGTGATTATTGGATATATTATTGGGTATTATCAAGGTGATGTTTCTGAATTTTATTTTATTATATGTGATTGGTTCGCTCAATCCGTTGTTGATCATATTTAAATTATTATTTTGAGGGAGTGGGTTAGTTGGTTTGGTTAGTGGTGACTGCTCGTAAAAGTATGTATATAATATTGTACTGTTGCCTTTCTTCCTCACCTTTGAGAAGCAAGGAAGTGAGTTGAGGTAGGGAAATTCTTATGTTAAAAAAAAAAAAAGGGCAGAGCAATTTATAGTGAGAAGTTTAGGGGAGTCCAGAGAAATTAAAGAATTTCTCTGAACCAATTTTCTCTGGACCAATTTTTTTTAGATTGATGTTGAGGGACCTTAGACATCATGAAAATATTTGATGTCCTTTATACTATAAAATCATAATATCAGGGACCTTAAAAAAAATACCCCAAAAATGAAATAATTATGGGTTTGATGTGATATTTTGTCTTATTAGTTATTTTAACTTTTTTGTCTTTTTGTATATTTTAGCTTAAAATTGGCTATTTTAGCCTTTGCCAAACAAGGCCTATATACATTTGATATCTCTGACTTTATTGGATCATAACTAGTCCATTAAACATTAGAAAAATAATATATTTTTGTGGAACAATGTCAAAATAATTACATTATATGAACAAATCTGACACATAAAAAAGTACCTACACCTCATGAAAATGAGATTTAATATGCTTGGTTTCAGTTTTTTAAATTTAATTTTTTAAAAATTAAATTTTTTATTTTTCTTATTTTTTTGTTTTTAGTAAATATTTTTAAAATTTTAAGCATTTTTTTTACTTTTTTAGATGCACCTTACTTAGATGTATCTAAAAAGTAAAATATTTGTGAAAAATATTTTTAAAAATTAATAAATACACAAAAATAAGAAAAATATATTGAATTTTTTTATTTTTTTATATTTTTGTTAGTTAATGAATTTTTTTTAAAAAATCATGAAAATTATACTTTTTAACTATATTTATGTTAAGTGTGTCTAAAAATATAAAAAAAATTCAGTAAAAATAAAAAAAAATTACTAAAAAAACAAGAAAATAAATATTTTTGAAAAATATTTTCAAAAAACTAAAACCAAACATAGTGATTTTTTTTTTTTTTCTATCCATTTGAAATGCAATTTCTCCTTAAACATTCTCCTTAGAAAACACACACTAATGATTTCTAGCCTTTATGTTAAACTATATGAATTCTCCATCCAATATAATTAGAAGAAAGAGAAGAGTAGTCAATAATGAAAAAGAAGAAGAAACTGAGCACCCAATGGAAAAAGAGTTGATAAAAGCGGAGAGAGCTTCCACTCTCTCCTCTCATATTTTTGTACCGTGTGCTGCTGCTGCTGTTGCCTGCTAGCTGAGAGCAGCCTGTGGCAACTGTGAATTGGGAACCACAAGCAGCTTCCTAACTAATAAGCAGTGATCCATAGACTCCCTCTCTTCTTTTTATGTTCATTACTGTTGAAATATAAATAATAACCTTATTCAATTTGCTTGGTTGTGTTTTTTTAAAAACACTTTTCAGAAAATTCTACTTTCTTGTTTTTCGTATTTTTTTATTTTTACTAATTTTTTTTAATATTTTAAGCAATTTTTTTTTAACTTTTTAGACATACCTAACATAAATATACCTAAAAAGTAAAAAATTTGTGAAAAAAACCTTTTAAAAATTCATCAAATACCAAAAATACAAAAAAATACAAGCATTCAGTACATTTTTTATATTTTTATGTATTTATTAAAATTTTAAAATATTTTTTCACAAATTTTTTACTTTTTAGATACATCTAAGTAAGGTGCATCTAAAAAAGTAAAAAAAATATTTAAAATTTTAAAAATATTCACTAAAAACAAAAAAATACGAAAACCAAAAAACTTAATCCAAAAAAGAAAATGTCTCGTAACTCAAATTTTGTGGCTTAAAAGTGGCTCAAATGGCCAAAACGACGTCGTTTTGGCCGTTTTTATGTTGTTCTGTACTCAAAACGACGTCGTTTTGGCCATTTGAGCCACTTTTGAGTCACAAAATTTGAGCTACGTAGCATTATCGATCTAAAAAACTCAAACCAAACACACTGATTAAATTTTTTAATAACTTGACGGTTAACAATTTAATATTAGAACTAGCAATAGATTTTGTTTTTAAATCTCACCATTTACATGTCTTTTGCTAGTTTATAGAGAAGAGTATGTCTAGACTTTTTGATAATATAAATAATAAAGTTATCCCTCTCTCTCTTAGGTAATATTTGATTTATTGGAATAAAAATATATTAGAATTGAATGATCCTTCTTAGCCTCATTTTAGAATGGCCATTCCCTTGTACTAGTGAACGACAATTCTGTTTAAAATGTGAAAATAAACATTTTAATAAAATGACCATTCTATTCATGAACAAAACATAATATTAAAATTTAAATGTTTAAATAAGTTGGTGATTAATAATTCAAAAGCAACCAACTAGGTTTCATCAGGACTTACAAGTCAAAGTTCAAAGGGTGAATTAATGGTAAATATTACATTCCTTGTTTCCTTTTGAGGCCATGATGGGTTTAGCTCGATAATTATAATATATGTAAGACATGAGAAGTGTCACTCCTTTTTAAGCCACCCAAGAGTTTTTGACCAAGAAATACTGTGTGAGTGTTTGGGAAGTTGTTATTTTAGTAGGTTATTTTAATTTTTGATTATTTTAATAAGTTAAAATTTTTTGTGTTTGGAAAAATAATTTGATTTTTTTAAAGTTGGATGCTATGTTTGTGAGAAAAAAAAATGAAATAATTATGATTTGATATGACATTTTGTCTTATTGACTATTTTATCCTATTTTGTCATTTTGTAAATTTTACCCTAAAAAGCTAAAAAAGCCTTTGCCAAAGTATGTTATTAGGTCTTTATCACTATTTTGTATTACCAATTACATGGACTTTTATAATTAATTCTTTTATTTAGAAATAAATATTAAGATATTAATGAAAACAATAAATAACATTTTATCATATACTCAGTGATATAAAATTGCTACAAAAATCAAGAAATATATAGCAGCGCTATTTTTTACCCGATAATTAGCTAAAACATAAAATTTACAGGTACACGGAAATAAAACGCACTGAGAGAGATTATTTTAATAAGTTCTCATGTGAGTGTTTGGAAAGTTATTGTTTTAATTTTTGATTATTTTAATAAGTTAAAATTTTTGTGTTTGAAAAAATAATTTGATTTTTTTAAAGTTAGATGTTATGTTTGTGAGAAAAAAAAATGAAATGAAATGATTATGAATTTGATTTGATATTTTATCTTATTGACTATTTTATTCTATTTTGTCATATTGTAAATTTTAGCCCAAAAAGCTAAAAAAGCCTTTGCCAAAGTATGTTACCAGGTTTTTATCACTATTTTGTATTACCAATTACATGGACTTTTATAATTAGTTCTTTTATTTAGAAATAAATATTAAGATATTAATGAAAACAATAAATAACATTTTATCATATACTCAGTGATATAAAATTGCTACAAAAATCAAGAAATATATAGCAGCGCTATTTTTTACCCGATAATTAGCTAATGTATATGTTATTGAAGAATTATATGTAATTAAAAATTAGTCAATACGTATTGTATATTTGTATTTAACCTAACGTAATTTTGTATAGGCTTTCCCTTTACAAGTAGTCCAAAAAGGGTTTTGATGACTCCCATAAACAGAAAGCCCACAAAGGCATTACCTGTGTTTCAGCACACACACACACACAACATAACAGAGTAAACTGCTTCATTATAACAGTAATATCTCTCTCTCTCTCTCTCTTTCTCTCTCTCTCTCTCTTTATTATAACTTCAAAGCAAAAACATAAAAACAAAAACAGAAACAAATAAAAACAAATTCTAGAGAGAGATGGAGTTATGAGGGTTGCAGAAAAAGCTCCTACTGCACAACCTGTATTACCAGTTCTTCTGCCGGATCTCTTTTTTCTCTTCAAATATGTTAATTTATACATATATTTCTGCCTTGTAGCTTCTTTTTTTTTAAAAAAAGAATTCAGTATACCAAATAAATATACTAATCTGCATAATAAATGTAAAGTTATTCACTAACATAATTTTTATAGAAAACTCATTTGAAATTATGTGGTGGTGGTGTTTTAGAAATTTGGAAAAGTATGAGGTATAGGAGTGAACACGACATCATTCTATATGAAAATATTTGCATTACGTTCTTAATAAACTTTTGAGCTAACCATGTTGGGCATCTTTAAAATTATACAATTCTGGTATATTATTGTGACATTTCAGTTGATAGTGTTTCTTGAAAAAAAATAATATATTAAAGTTTATGAGAAAAACATGTTATCTAAACAAACACAATTAATTTGATGTATCCTAGCTACTTAACTCTTAAAACATTTTCTTTTACAATGATTAGTATGGAAAATGTTACACAAACTAATAAATTTTACAATTTTTTTATTTACGTCATGCAATAAAGAAAAAAATTGAAATTTAAACATAATTCGCTTTACTTCAATAATGTGATAACAATACATCAATGTGAATAACACAATAGTGAAAAATTCAATGAACACATTCATTAATACAACAATGTCTCATGAAAGTACTCAAATTTAAAATGTATATACAAAACTAATTTTAAATGTAGTACATACCATATTAAATTTTAATCTAGACCATGGTCTACTTGTCCCAGCAGTTTTTTCTATTTTCTTGGACTACTTTCTTTCTACATATTTGTGTGGGAAGTAAACTAGCATCATGGATTCATCATAGAATAATAAAACAAGTATTACCAAACCCACCACAAGTCTTTCAAAACAATGAAGATCAAATGAGAACCAATTGCATGATCACAAAATCTGAGTGAAAATTAAAGCAAGAGATCACTGACACACATTCTGAGAGAGAGAGAGAGAGAGAGAGAGAGAGAGAATTGGCAAGAATCAAAAACATGTATTGCTCTATTTTGGAAGTAGAAAGTAGTTTGACAAGAAAAGGGTAATGAAAAGGCTGTGTTTGGGTGCTTGGATCACATGCATTACACACAAATGTGAAAAGACAAAAAACAAAAACAAACAAGACCCATGTGTATTGCTGCTAATAAGAAAGCTTGAGAGACAAATCAACAGAAGTAGAGGAGGAATCAAAACCAGTGAATGTTGTTGTTGGGGCAGTGAAACAAGAACCTTGATCTGCAGCAACAACAACTGAAGCTTCTGATGAAGAAGAGCCACCTGTTAAGTCCATGTAGTCCTTGGAAGAAGTGCCTCTGACACCATCTTTCCCTGGAAAGAACTCAAACTCCATGAATACATTTCCACCTCCTCCTCCTGAGCTTCCCTTCCTATGAACAGCCACAACCTCCACTTCCTACAATACTCATCAAACAAAAACCTAATCAAAATCAACTCACACAATTTAATCATATAATATTTAAAAAGGGTGAGTTTCACATTATGTTATAGGACCTTGATTAATTTTGTGATCAATTGTTATGCATGTATTTTTTTTATAGTAATGATGTATAAATTAAAAACACAAAAATTATACAAAATGATATGGTGTTAAATTTGTATTCATCCATTTTAAATTAAAAAGCCCATCAAAATTTCTTATTATTTCAAAAGATAATGCTATATAAGTAGAACTTTCACACAAAACAATGTGTTTTTGTATGGAGCTTTCATTTTTAGGACAAAACCATGATCATTGTAGTTTTAAAGTGCAAAAATATATTGAAAATTTGATTCTATTGCTTTAGAACAAAAACAAAATCATTATGCTGTGTAGTTTTAAAAATGCTATTATCATAATAACATATCATTCTTGTCAAAAATATTAATATGAAAATTTTGTATAAAATCAAGTTTTTACATCATCATTTTAGTGGGTTTTTTTCTCTATGAAATTTTAGTTTTCAAATCATTTTTTTTTTTCAATCACAATTCTCCATAACAAACACATTACACAACTTTCAGTAATTAAACTTGATCCAAAAAAAAACACTATATTGAGTCTCTTGCATCTGCTTAAGGCCTCTTCTTCACCTGATCAACATTGCCACCGCCATAACCCAGAGCTCCCATGCCAAGATCCTGATTCTCTCCATCGACAATTCGCTTGTTTCGTAGATTCAATCCTAGAAAATCACAGCCATTGATCGGGGGACATAGCCCAAAGTTTTCGCCATTAACGCGCTTCTTCTGCAACAAATCCCAAAAAGATTAGGAAAAAAAATAAAAAATAAAAAAATGGGTTTTGATTTTGAAACATTACCTTGTGGCAGAGACCACAGTGTTGATCATCAGAGTAATAATTATATGACCTTAAGTTTGGGATTGAAGAGAGCTCTTCCACATTGAACCCACTCTGTAAACCCAGATTCAGACCTCCAAATCCATACGAATCAGTCCCAGAGAAGCATCCATTTCGAATCCTCTGACGCATCAAAGCCTGGTTGAGACCCAACTGTGCTAACCCATTGGATGAAATCGGATTGGGGAACGAAGAAGATGGTGGAAAGAAGGGATTGAGAGATTGTGGAAGTGGGTTTGTTGTTGTTGTTTGGGTTATCTTCTTCCAGCGGTCTTGGTCTTGCAATCTGAGACGCTCGAGCTGAGCCACACCCATTCCTCGCTGTGGTTGTTTCTTCTTCTTTGGGACTGACTCGTTAGATTTCGACTTTCTTCTTCCACTCTGTTTCGTGTTCTCGGATCTAGAGAAGTCTTCCAACTCAGCCAAGTTCTTCTCGGAAGCCATGAGAACTGAGGTAGCCATGCATTCAGAGGCAGAGATAGGTTTTAGAGAGAGCAAAATGGGTTTGATTATGTAGAGAGAGAGAGAGAGAGAGAGGGAGTGTATGTTTATGCTGAGAACCAACTAGAAATACCAGTCATGGCTTATGCCTGTGCTCTGCAGCTCTGCTTGTGTTATTCCAAGTTGATATATATATATATATATTATTAGGAAATTTTTGTTTTTTTGTTTTTTTAAATATTATTCATTGATTGATATTTGCTTACCTTTTTTGACTAATCTCGAAGAGAGATTATTTGTCTAGAGGGTTACTCTGAAACAGTGACATTTACATTTTTTTATTTTAAGATTGTGCTAGAGACCTAAATGTTTTATTAAAATTTTTATCAAATTTATCAGATGAGTATGAGACTTACACATATGTGAGATTGTATGAATCTCACACCTATGTGAGAGATTTCGTAAAAAATTTAATAAATTATTTGAAGTTCATAACATTTTTCTTTATTTTAAGTTATTTTTATTTTGGAGGCAAATCTCCTCCAGTCCAAAATCTAGACGGGAGGGTATTGTTTGGATCCTTGAAGCCCATCACGGGTATTATTTTAATGATTCAAATCATTCATTTTGTCCGGTATTTGGTATATTTTATTCACAAAAAAAATTAAATCGATTCGATAATCGTAACATATTCATTTTACCATCTTTGTTACCAAATAAATGGATGACAATTATTTTTTAAAAATAAATCCTATATTTTTTTTATGACAAACGCAATAAATTAAACAAATTAAAATTATCGAATCGATTTGAATTTTTTTGTGGATGAAATATACAAAGTATCCGATAAATGAATAATTCAATTTATCAAAACGAGACTCATGTTGAACTCTATAGGCTTAAGTAACACCTTTCAATCCAAATTTTGGGCAGAAGAGATCCTCCTTTTATGTTTTAACCTCCTATAAAAAGTGTGAAACCCTAAATGAAAACAAAATTGACACCACAAAATGTTATGATGAAAATTACACAGGATACATATTTTAAAGACTAAAAATATGCAAATTATAGTGTGAATACACACTATATAAAAATAAAAATAAAAATAAAAATTAGTCTAACATCCCTTTCTAACTTTTAAAGTAAACTATAAATAAGTCTTAATAGTTAGACTTAATTCCCATCAAATCCTATTGAAAATAAGTCTTGGTAAAATTGTAGCTAAAAATAATTTTCGTGACAATTTTTTATGTATGTCGCTAAAAATTAACAATTAATGACTTTTTTATATCATGATTTTTATAAATCGTCGCTAAAACTTACAATTAGTGACTTTTTTTATGACAATTTTTTCTCATAGGTCCTATTAGACAATAAGTCCACTTATGAGGACCTACACGTAAGTACCCCAAACTTTTGCTAATAAGAGAGATCCACAATATATTTTGTATAGTGTAAGGTCCTCAGATCCATCACCCATAATTACAAACATCAAATTTCTTCTAAACCTACACACACAAACACACACACACACACACATACACTCTCTCTCTCTCTCTCTCTCTCTCTCTCTCTCTCTCAGTAGAGCAAAGCAAAAAATCAAAGCAGCAATAGCTCTATGGATGGACAAAGGTTCAGAACCTCTGACCGAAAACAAGATTGCCATGCTTCTATGATTTCGTTGTTTGTTGTTCTAGTAGAGTTGATTTCAAGTTGTCATTTGTTCTTTATTCACTACAAGAAAAAATACTTTTGGCGACCACCTATTTTTTTTGGTTGCAAATAGTCCACTTTCTGTGACTAAAATTTAACTTTTGGCGACCACAATTTTTTGGCCCGGAAAATCACCTTTTGGCGACCAAAAAAAAAAGTTGGTCGCGGAAAGTATACTATTGGCGACCAAAGGCTTTTTTGGTCGCGGAAGATCACCTTTTGGCGACCAAAAAAAAAGTTGGTCACTGAAAGTATACCCTTTGGCAACCAAAAAAAAAGTTGGTCGCAGAAAGTATACTATTGGCGACCAAAGGCTTTTTTGGTCGCGGAAAATTACCCTTTGGCGACCAAAAAAAAAAGTTGGTCGCGGAAAGTATGCTATTGGCGACCAAAGGCTTTTTTGGTCGCGGAAGATCACCTTTGACGAGGCTTTAGCGACCAACTCACGACCAACATATTTTGGTCGCGAAAAGGTTTTAGCGACCAAATATGGTACTTTTCGCGACCAAAAAAAAAGTTGTTCGCGGAAAGTTATGGCAGGATAAATTTTTAAAAAAATGATACTACAGTAATTACATGCTATTTTTCTATTTAGGCATTAAAAGTTTTATAAAATAATATATAACCCAATTTTTATGGGTTATATATTTTTTTTGCCAAATATGAACAATAAGTATGTTATTGGCAGAGTGGATTGGGTGCATGGTGACTCCTTGGTTAGGAGTTCAAGTCCCAAGGAGCACAAAAGAATTAATTTTTTTGGGTCAAGGCGCTGACTTTTGGCGACCAACTTATCTTTGGTCGCTAAAAGTTTACTTTTGGCTAATATGAATTGGACTTTCCGCGACCAAAAACGTTGGTCGCGAATGGTCACTTTTAGCGACCAAAGGCTTTTTTGGTCGCAGAAAAGTATCTGTGACGAGGCTTTAGCGACCAACATATTTTGGTCGCGAAAAGGTTTTAGCGACCAAATATGATACTTTTGGCGACCAAAATGTTGGTCACGGAAAGTGTTTTTTCTTGTAGTGATTCTTTGATTTCGATTTGATTTGTGTAAAGATTCTGATTTCGTATTAGATTTTTTATTCTGATTTGTGGTTTTCATTAGGTTTTTTATTTTAATTTGTGATTTGGAAATTACGTTCTTGTAATCTTGTTGAGATTTTTGTTTTTGGAACATTATTCGAGTTGATTTGCAATAGACATGTTCGTTGTTCATTGATTTCGAGTTGATTTGGCCAAAGAAAATCATAGAGAGGAGTATATGATTTGGCCAGAGAAAATCAACAAACTTCTTTGGCCATCACACGGAGAAATTGAGTCCAATTTTTTAAAATGTTCATTCTAATGGTAGAGAAATCTCATGACAAAGAAAATCAATATGCCAAAGAAAATTATATACATAGATTTCAAATTGATTTGTAGCAGATGTGTTCCTTATTTATTGATTTTGAGTTGAGCCAGAGAAAATTATAAGTGAGAGTGTGTGACTTGGCCAAAGAAAATCAACATAACAAAGGGAAAAAATCAAATTTCTCTTGTTATCACATAGAAATTTATCTCAATCTTTCAAAATGTTGACTATAAAAAAAAAAAAAGAAATTCCATGACAAATAAAATCAATATACTAGAGAAAATTATATACACACGACTAGCTTGAAGAAGAAACTCAAAGGAGGAGCAGTAAGTAAATTCCAAAGAAAATTATAATAGGCACAGGGAAATTCTAGAGAATTTCATATCTCAAAGAAATATCTTAATGCCAGATAAATTGCAGAGAAAATCAACATGCTAGAAAATTTTCATTTTTACAAATTTCTCTGGCTATCGTATACAAATTTTGGAGTCTAATGTGATAAGAGAAATTTCAAATGCCAAAGAAAATTTCGCACACGCACACGCATACACGCGCGCACACACACAACTGCCAAAGTTATGTCATATATGTATATTTGTTCATATGAGTTTGCTTATTATACTCAATTTAACTACTCCAGTGGATAAACTCATATTCAAGCATAAATTTGAGTAAGAGCATTTTCAATCCTCAATCTCTTTTTGTGCATGTATTTGTTGAAAGTTGCCTGAAATTTCTCTGTCACAAGACACAATTTTCTCTAATTTGGTTGAAACACAAAGAAAATTATGAGCAAATCAGAGAAAATTAGTCAAATACACAGATAAAATTGTGAGCAAACTACAGAGAAATTTGTGAGCAAATCAAAGAAAATTCAACTCAGAGAAATTTAGCAAACCAAAGAAATTTCTCTGGATCGAAATTTCTCTGGAAAAATGTTGAGGGATCCCAACCATTATGAAAATATTGTATGTCATTTATATTATATAATCTTAATACGAAAGACCTTAAAAAAAATTTCCCAAAATAAAATAGTAAAATATATTTATTCGCTAATACAAATTTTCCATTTGTCTTTCATATTTGAAAATGGTCCTCCTATACAATTTTCAAATTTACAAAAAAAAAAAATAATAATCATATTTTTCATCAAATATATTTATGCTAAAATAAGCAAGTAGGCGTATTGTAGCCCCACTGTCAGCTGTAGCAAAATTAGTAACAAATCATTAGTTCTAAATTAATGCAATTTTTTTTTTTTATATATAACAAAATGGTTAGTTGTGCATATATTAATAATTTTATAGACATAAACTCAAAAATTGATCAAAAAAATAAGAACCAAAACAAAAAAAAAAAAACTTAAAATCTTCTAAAAATCAAACTACATAAAGCCTCCACTCCTGTCACACATAAATAATAAGGTCATATTTTAAGATATTATTTATGTCTCTAATAAATAATGCTTCATCACAAATAAAAACTTATTAGAATGGAGTCACAAAAAAAAATTTGTTCATTGACATTGTTCATACATATAAGCATGTTAGAGGCATAAGAATTAGAATACATAATGATGTACGGAAAATTTCGTGTTGGTTAAGATTTATTTAATAGGCTTCAGAATTCAAAATAAATTTTAAACTTATATACGAATTGTACGCGGAAGACAAAATATTATCTTCCTCGTATAATCCTGTTGACTAAGTCCACGCTTCCCTCCGACGACTCGCTTTAATCACCTAAAACACAAACGTGCAGCTAGCCGACGGGTGTGTGCCGGGAAATCCTCTCCGATGCCTAAGTCAGAAAACTTGACAGAATACACAAACTCATATGTTCTGTCAGAAAGCAAAATTATGTTCTGTTACCTCCACCAAGGTGATGTTTGTGAGCTTTTATATGTTTCCAGTGGCACAATCCTAGTAGGACTTTTATTCCTCCATGCAGATTCCTCCTAGGATTCATACTCCTAAGGATAATGCTTATCCTTTTACACCCCCCCCCACTGCTTAAACCAAGTGG